CCGGGGAAGCCGCGGAGCAGCGACCGCCGCCGGCCCTGCAGGTGAGGCAAGGCAGGGTCGGGACCGCAGGCGCGCCCCGTCGGGTCCTTCGGTCGGTGTCACTCGGGAGCAGGCGGGCCAGGAGGGCCAGGGCCAGGGAGTCTCCTCCTCCTCCTCCCGGAGGAGCCGCCTTTCCTTTCGCGCAGATCGGTGCCTCCGGGAATCAAGCGAGATCCAGGGGGAGGGACGCTGGGCTGAGTCTACCCGGGGGGAAAGGCTGAGCATCAAATGGAAACTCCTTTCGAGAACAGATCCGTTCCCAGTTCGGTAGACGCTCCGTGCCGCTCGGAGAGCACTTTCCTGGGAGCCGTTTCGGTTCGCCGGCGCAGAGCTGACTGCCCGGCTTGACCCTGGAATGGTTCCGGCGCCTGAGACCAAAGCGACTTTGGTGGGCGGCCGGGTTGGTCGGAAGCGTCACCTTTGAGAGCAACGAAGCTTTGGCCAAGGTATGAGCTTCCGTGCGCCAGCAGCACGCTTCTTTCCTATCTGCGTGCCCTCGAAAGCTTCTGTTTTGAGTAAGAGTTCGTTGCACTTAAAGGGGCCGCTGGACTCGAACCTTGCTCTGCTTTGGGATAAGTTTTCCCAAGGGCCGCTCGATAGTTTGTTTGTAATAATAATAATAATAATAATAATAATAATAATATGATAATGATAATGATAATGATAATGATAATGATAATGATAATAATAATAGGCTGCCTCTGAAATCCCGGAGCGGCTGTTCCGTTGGCTGGAGCAGACCCTTTACATGGATTCCTTTCCGATCTCCGTCCCCCATCGGCAGTCTTCACACTCGGTGCATTCCAGTCGGAACTAGCCGGCGCGGCCGGAGAACCTCCCCGCCCGGGCTGCCGTGTGTGACAGCGAGCGCGGCGGCGGCGGCGGCGGGGCTCTCTCTCTCTCTCTCTCCCGGAGGGCGCTGCATTGGGCGGCTTGCTCCCGAGTCCGCGTGGCGCGGGGTCCCGCTCCTGCCACTCTGCAGCCCCGCCACGATTAAAACGTACCTCGCCTTTGGGGGAAACCGCCCCCTTCCTTCCAGCCGCACGGGGAGGGAGAGGGGCTCGAAGGGGGTTTTACCTCCTGTGAGTCGGGTGGCCGAACTCCGGCGCAGGAGCCCTGCCCGCGTGGGACTGGGCAAGACCGCAGAAAGCCTCTTTGCGCCTCGGCTGTGGCAGCGCCCGGTGCGATCCCAGACTCCGATGCCGCCACACACGCACACGCCCCGGCTAGGCTCTGGGCAGCTGCACGCGCCCCGGGGACCGTTCCCAGACCAAGGCTCCCTCTGAGCTGCGAAGTCTTGTGAGCAGAACGTGTACTTTGTGAGCGACTGGCATTCAAGTTGTGGGCAACTGATTTGGCTACTGCATAGATTAGTTTGCTCTGGATGAGCTAAGACCAAAATGTGTGAGCTGGAGGCTAAAAAACGGTGAGTTAGCTCACACGAACTCAGCGTCCCAGGATCAACCCGGCTGCTGTGCGGTGAGTCGCCAGCAGCGGCCCTGAGCCCGGATCGCCGCTCCCTTGGACGGCGGCGGGTGTGTGTGTGTGTCGGTTTCAAGTGGTGCCGCCGCCCGGCAGGGGATTCTCCTGCGAGCCTGGAGAGGCAGGGCGACCCCCCCCCCCCCCCCCCCGGAGCGCCCCCGCTCCACCCCCCCCCCAATCG